GTTATTGCTTCCATACATTCCTATGAATCCTTTAATTGGGATCCCACAAACTGGCGGTTTTGGGTCCACTGAAATGGCCAGTTCTCCAGTTGCTGCAGAATTGCTAGCGCTGACAAAAAATTTGACTACAGACCAACCAAAAATGACAATTGAAATTCAGGGAAAATCATTTTCTGGCCTTATAGATTCCGGAGCAGATGTCTCTGTGATACGCCAAAAGGAGTGGCCAAATGAATGGGCACTTGAGGACTCTCCGGCTGTTCGTGGGGTAGGTGGTATGCAGTTTGCAAGAAGTAGTGTACATTGGTTGAAGGCATTGCATAGAGAAACTGGCGAGACTGCAAGGATTCAACCTCTTGTGTTGCCCCTGCACATAAACTTGTGGGGTAGAGATTTGCTGTCACAATTTCGCACAAAAATTGTTATTGGATAATGGAAAAATTACAATTGTTAACCTCTCAACCAGTTTGGATTGACCAATGGCCACTTCCAAAGGAAAAGCTTATAGCTTTACATCAATTGGTAGCTGAGCAACTACAATTAGGACACATTGAGCCAACTTCTAGTCCGTATAACACTCCTTCACATAAAAACAAAAACGGGGGAAGTGGATGGATATGGTTTGCCTTACATACAAAACATTCTTAATATTACTTTATATACTTTAAATTTTTTAAACATGACAGGATCTCCTGCTGTTACGGCAACCAGTAGGCATTTTGCTTCCTCCCCTTCTGCAGGTACGTCAAGACCGAAAGTTCGGTATAGGAGACTACCAGATCCAACGTAGACAGGACCTGTCCCGCTGATAACTTGGGGCCGAGGATACGCTGCCGTTGAAGATGAGGGGACAGTTGTTTGGGTTCCTGCTCACTGTGTGCGTCCTTATCATCAGCCAAAGGGGCAAGGGGATGGATTTGGGGGAATGGAAAAAAAACACGTTGATCCAGGACATGGAGAAGCTAGCAAACCTTCATAATAAAACTGATTGTTGGGTATGTATGCACATGCCAACTCACAAAACATCAGGACTTCCAATGGTTGCAGTACCTCTGGCCGAAGGTGACTGGTATAAGGGAGAATGCTATGGTTTTTCAGGGACGTGGTCTAACAGTTGGACTACAAGTAACATAAATACCTTATACCTTGGAAGCCGAATCCAAGAGGTGGCAGGTATCTGCTGGACCCACAATGAGACAGTAGAGAATATGACTTACTTGGGAACATATCCATTTTGCAACAAAACAATTGTTATTAGCAATGGAAGTCGGGTTTATCCGGATGACATGAAAACAAAAAATCTCACTTACTTTGTGCATAACATCACTAAATTTTCTATCACATCTTTGATCAATGAAAATGGGTGCCCATATATTCCTGCCACATGTTGTCCCACCACGGAGGACAGCAACCGGTTGCCCAAATGTGCGAATGGGAAATACGCACCATCTTCCACTTATTTGGCTATGTTAATGGAATCCTTTGCACAATTAATCTATGCTGAACCAAATAAGGTTGGTCATCTCCTGGGAGCAAATTTATGGTTGCTGTGTGAACGGATGGCCTATGATCGCATGCCAGCACGATGGAAAGGAGTCTGCACCTTTGGGAAAGTAATCCCATCTCATTTCATTCAAAAATCATTGGGGACTGCTCATATCCGCAATGCGCGTTCTGCAACGGAAGTAAACTCTGTTTTGACTCATGACTACTGGACACAGATATCAAGGGGAGCTATTCCTCCTTTAGGAGTCATAATGAACTATAGAGATTTGCATCGTTTAAATAATTGGACAGTTACTATGTTTAAAGATACCATTAAAACGCTAAAGCTGCTTGAAGAAGAGCAAGGAAAAATCCTTGACTTTGTCCTGCAAACCAGATATGCGGTGGACACTATTTTGGCTGCGCAAGGGGGAGTTTGCGCTGTGATTCATATGCATTGTTGCATGTATATCTCTGATTATTCTCCAAACATTACAGCTACTATACAGCATATGGAACAAACCCTGAAGGAGAATCCATTACAATCGGAGGGTGAGGGACTGGACGTGTGGTCTGCACTTTGGTCCTGGTTGCCAGATGGTTCATGGATTCATCACCTAATTGTTGGAGCGATATTGCTTATTATATTTTCTCTCTTTGTATGCTGTTGTATTCAATGTCTCCCTGGACTTTTAGGAATGTGTCAGGTGAAGCCTACGGAAGAATTGCTGTTGCAGATGGCGAAAAGCTACCGAGGCATCCGCGATCATCAAAAAACTAAAACAGGGGAGATGTGGGAATAAACTTTGGCCTAGGCTTGAGTAATGATTAATATAATGCTTTATACATACATGCCTGTTTAAAGGTCACTAAGGTAATGCAAAGAAAAGAGAACAATAAAGACAAATACAAACAAGGAGGCAGCTTAAACAACTGCAAACAAGCCTGTACTATATCTAATTATTAATCTCCAATGTAATTATGCTGACTATGTACAAAAATCTCAATAAAAGGAAGCACTAGAAATTATTCTGGGCTCCCATCCCGAGTACACACGCTTGTGTCTCATTCTTTCCATGGGAGACCACCACAATGAACCAGTTGCCAAGCATCTGATTTTTGATCATGTGACCAAGGAGATGCTAGACAATTGTGAAAAATGGACATGTCACTTTTTTTCAGTGCAGTTGTAACTTTGAATGGTCACTAAATGCATTATTGTTTAGTGGAGGACCTGTACTTTTTTCCTGAAACATGTTGTATATTATAATCAAATATTTTTTCAGGCAGTTGTTTCAGTTTACCATGTATTAAAAGCTATGCCATCAGAAATAATTATTTATTTATTTTTTATTTATTTATTTGATTTGCCAATTGTTTACAAGATAATAAGTATAAGTGTATACATAGTTGTGAATACATGAAATGGGTACATATAAGAAAAATAAAAGAATAAGAGAAACAATAGGACAGGGACGGTAGGCACGTTGGTGCGCTTATGCACGCCCCCTACAGACCTCTTAGGAAAGGGGTGAGGTCAATAGTAGACAGTCTAAGGTTAAAGTTTTTGGGGTTTGGGGAAGAGACTACAGAGTCGGGTAGAGTATTCCAGACATTGACCACTATTGCTGAAGTCGTATTTCCTGCAATCAAGTTTGGTGCGGTTTACTTTGAGTTTGTATCTATTGTGTGCTCTTGTGTTGTTATGGTTGAAGCTGAAGTATTCATTGACAGGTAGGACATTGCAATGTATGATTTTATATAC